TTCGCTTATCTCGTTAATTAGTAAGTACATTCAACTTAATAAAATAAAAGTCCAAACCTAAAATTGTCTTGAACATAATTGGATACGGAATCTAGACATTTACTTTAATAATAAAATTATAATTTTAATTTCTAGACATAGATTTTCTGTATATACATATACATTTTGAAATTTTGAATTTATATTTGTATTTTTTTTTTGGGGACTAACCTAAAATTATTATTTAGATTTATACTACATTTGTACAATGAACTTGTATTGTTTATATATTATTTTTCCTCGTTGTACTTTTGAAGTTAGGTACTTCCTACTAAATTGTAAAAAACATATTTCATTAAGTACCTACCTAAAAGTAAAATTATTGATTTGATTTGATTGAATAGGTTAGTTCTTTTTACATCGTGTCGCTAACAAATTTATTAAGGTCTCCTCTACTATAAATTTGTTAATTCCATTATTTCATTTACATTTTTTATATGTCACCAACAAGTTTACAACACTCAATGTATCATTACTAACATATACACGGAAGGGAATGTTATACCTACTTAATATAAGTGGAAATATAAAGAAACATACTATGATGTCTTTATAAAAGTAAATAATATAGTGTTGATAAGAGGCTTGTAACCTCTTTTATCGGTGTGCAACAACCTAGATGATTTATGAGAACTAAATTGCACTGATATCGCAAAACGCAACGTTTGATTTATCACAACTCCGTGTTCTCGGTCGAGTCGGTAACAAGACTTATGATAGATACCACCAGCGTAATCGCGGCGGTGGTTATTTTTAGTTGCATTACCATGGCTGTTGACATGGTTCATATTTTTAATTTGTCATAAAGTTTAAAAATACTGATGGTCTCTGACTATTGTTATCTGATATATGCAAATTCTGTACTACTTTGTTGATTGCTTTTTCAACCAATTTCACAATCGTTTTGTTTTATTAAATGATATAATTCTTTATAGTTTCTTTCTATAAAAGGATTACAATATTCCAGACTGAATCCTAGCTTAAATTATTAGGTGTGCTTTGTCGAGTCAGTTTAAAATAAATGTTACTGGTAGTTAAACTAATTTGTTCTAATAAAGTGAAGGTGATATGGAATTTTAATTAATATAAGTAGATACCTATACTTTATTTGATAGGGACAATTAGACCGATAATGGACGTGATAAAGATGGTTGATCGACCACAAAATTGTAGTCGGCTGTTTACAAGTATATATATATACATATTAGTTTAATACACATACTATTCAGTACGATACGGTATCACATGAAAAATATTCAGCTATAGACGAGACGACATTAGTGGAACTAATGCTAAAGTATATATATATGCTAAATATAATATATATAAATATATATATATATATATGCTAAAGTAAATAATGATAAAGATAATGAATATAATAGTAATAAACATGCAGGAATCAATTAAAATAAGATAATAGTCATAATAAGTGTCATCAAATCATGTGCTAACTGTATCGTGTTGCGGACACGAGAGTCGGCGCCTACGTTCGCTGATGGTCACGACCGCGGTTGCTGTGGCCGTCTAGTCAACTTGTATTACATTACCTTATTACAAACGAATGCCATCATCTAATCTATATAACCGTAGCTTGAATGAACGCTTTGAGGTTGTGATGATTTGACATCGTGGAAAACAATAGTAGGTACCGGAGACCAATAGTTAAATAAAAATGTCTGAGTTGGAAACGTCTATTTCAAAAATTTAAACATCGTACTCTATTCAATTTAGCTAAGTATGACTCATTTCATAGAATACAAATAAACATTCGGAACGTTGATTACACTCATGAACGTAGCTCTTGCGGCTACGGGAAACGGGATAACGCGGAGGCTGCGATCAATACGGTGGGCTGCCGTCGCCGCCGCCGCCGTCGCCCCCGCCCCCGCCGACCTCCACGCGCCTCCCGTCGACGAAAGCGAACGCACCGACCTCGCTGCCCTTCACCGTAGTGTCATCGACCCCTCGACCGAGCGTACCTCCCCGCACGCGGTCCCGGCTCCGATCCAACATCATCCCTTTGCACTTCCCCAATTCGATCTTTGTGACCCGATTATTCAAAACTCCCATTGTCGCCGCCGTTACCGTAGACCCGGCAACCCTTATTACGACCAGTTATAAAATGAAACATTCTGATTCACATATCGACATTACTGTGATTCATAATAACTGATATTTGTTATTATTTTTAGTCTATCTATATTTTAAATGTTGCTAATTCATTTATGTATGATAAACCTATCGCGAGGGTGAATGTCCCACCAAAATGGGATGACACTTCCGTTGCCAAACGGAACCTATTGTTTGCCTGATAATGCAAAACCATTATGAAACATCGTATATGGTTGAGTAGATCGAGTCTTATAGACTGTTTTAAATTAGTAGGTACAGACCGAAAAAAGTAGTCATTTATATAATTAAAAAAATTGTACAAAATTGTTGATATCGCCTAACATAGGTACCACCTATAAGTAAAATTTACTCGAAATAAATAAAATTATCGAAGTCTAGAACTAGTACGTTAACTATAAAAACTTGCGTTATAGAGCGCGATTCTGTATGTGAAAGGTAATTTCCGGAATCACGGCATCTACTTATTCTACAATTTTTATCACAATATTCTAAATAAACTGGCGCGGTCTCAAAATGTTCGGGAAATCAGAACGAATCTCTATTACTTAAATAGTACATTACAGTCCAATTATAGGCTCGTCAATCTATATTTTGAACTGTCATAACGCTACAATATCTAAATAATATTTCTCGTAATTTTAGATATTATCTTATTATGACACTGGTGGAATATTAGAATGTAGCGTAGCGGGGAGTCTAGCCAATGAACTTGAATCGGGCTGGACCTCCACTGGAGCGTATGCTATAAATAAATCATGGCCGTGCGGAGATCACCGCAAACGCCAAATTAATTAGTCTATTATTAAACACTTAGGTACATTAATATGCAAAAAAAAAACGTATTTCTCTTCTTCTCTAATATTTTAAGAAGTTACGAGAAAGCTATTACTATTTCATTATCTACGTAGCTCATGTTAAAATGTCGAGTAGTGGAGTCAGATATCGGGAGGGACGGCACGCCACTATTTTAGGTAACGCGTATGGCATTTGGGACGTGTGCTGGAAAATACCAACTTACTCGTTTATTCTTAGATGCCCTACTAACAGCGTACTGTTACCTCATCGAACGAAATGTCTTGAAAATGTGAAAAATAGCAAAGATATTTATTTTTAATATCTTCCATGTGAATTATTAAATTATTGAATGTATACATAATTTCTCTACGGTCTCTTGAATTTTAAGTTAATTCTCGACTATCCAGCGCGGTTAGTAAAAAAAGTGCAGTTAATTAGGTTTGGCTGAGCAGCGACTGTGCAAGAAACGAACATAAAGTTAACGTTTTTTGTCTAGCACAGTTGGTAGGTATGGTACAGCATCAAAATAACGGTAACCGCACATTGTTAATTTTGATACAAAAGATACGGATAAAATTATCAACGCATGCAACTGAAAATATTAATTAATTTTGATAAAACACATTAAGGATATTGCACTGTAGGTACTAATGGAAAATCTAAAATATTAAATAACAATAAAATCTGGTACGTTTGAAATACTTGTAATATCAGTATCGCATTCCGGCGCATTCGTAGATAAATTTTGGGTTTTAAACAACTTGTATCTTGCTGATGTGTGTGTCAATATCCATTACATAGACGTAGCATGCACCTTCAACGGTTCATTGAAACCTGTTCTAGAATGTACCGAAATATAGATATTATTTTGAAACTTAATAATGCTCTTTTTTGTGATATGTACTATACGACCTGTTCTCTCTTTCAAGTGCCTATAAATAGGTAGATATCTATTATTATTTAAAATTGATGGGATTTTAAACTAACTATTATTATAATATTTTTATAATTTAAGTAATTTGAACTCACCTAATTAAAACTCGTCCTACGCAATTTAAGTCCATAAGGGAATACGATGGCCCTATAATTCTGAGAGGTGGCATTTCGATATAAATAGTTACTCGCGGCTGGCCCCCAGTTATCAACTAAAAATAAAAGATCAAAATCTGACTTGCTTCTATCTCATTGCATCATTCCAAAATATACTTGAGGCTTACCCGCTTCACTCGCATTGAACGATGTACATAACCTATTGTCTATGTCCATCTAATAATAGAACTTTCGATTAAATCGTGAATTTACAAAGATGGCTGAGATTAACTTACATGTGCACAAACGAACAAAACACGCACTTTCTCTTTATAATTGTAGTGAGATGATTGTTATAAAGATTTATAACAAACAGATAAAACCTCACCAAACTAATTTACCAATATGTAAAACGAACTCTGTCGCTAACATTTTACTATACCCCAATGGTAGCAACGAACATTCGGACCAAATAATGGTAAAATTTTTCCGTACCCTATAGACGCCTGAAATTATAGGGTGTCGCGTGCGTATTCTCAACACCTAGGATGGTACAGTATAGATTTCTTTCTCTAGAGATGTCTAGAGAAAACTTCGTCAGGGAGGTTAGTCCGCAATATGAGTGTGCTAACAGTGTACTAGTGTAATGTAATACTACAGTGTACTAATAATTTTTATTCTAGTTTTAAATACTGTCGCGTAGCAAAATTATCAATTAACGGTCCATAACTGTAAAGTTAGACGTAATATAGTACATATATATGTAATATATACTTAAGTGTTATATATACCTACATATATAAAAGTATGCAAGTTATTTCCCAAAAAAAAAAAAACAGCCCGCCTTTAGCAGCAGCAAAATATCTGACAGTTTCTGTAGAGTTACTCACACTGCAATTTATATTTATTGTAAAAGAACTTATCAGATATGAGCCCACAGAATACTCCTATGTAGTTTGCTTCTATAATAGCCCTAAAGTTTATTATATTTTTGTTGACAGGCGAGGAACATCCAGGACAGAAACAACGCAAAGGATTTTTCAGAAGCCTTTGGAAGAAATCCCGTCATTATTCATTAGAACATCCGTGAAGTATAAAAAGCATAACGTAACGAAATAACTTTTCGTGTACGCTTATTGTCATCATGAAAGAAATTATTGGCTAGTTTTTAACGATGAACATTCAGTGGAAATATAACAGTAAATACCTACATAGTTTTACAATACCAATACGATGGTCGAGCCCTTGTTTTCCATGATTTGCACTAAATATTTGATACTGTAATTTCTTGTTCATTCGATTAAATATAATAAAGTTAGTAATGTATGTATATTGCAAGTAGTTCATAATGTGGTTAAAAAGATGATATTTCTATACGATTGGAGCCAAATGAGAAAGCCTAATTTGTTACGAGAAATATACGATGCCTACTCGTTTTTAATGCTTGCATGTTCGTTTCAGAAAACGTACCCTAGTTTTAAAAGTAATGTGTTGGCGTAATGAAGTCACGTGTTAAGTTAAAATTTGTATAGTGGTATATTACTTTGTCTTATCAATAGTCATATTGATGCATAATTTATTTGTAACTATTAATAAGGTACTTATGTATTGCAATCACAACTAAATATTTCCTTTCTTATAAATAAATATATAGAATTGTAGAAATGTAGATAACCATGTAGTAAGTACAGTTGAAACGTTGTTTCGTCTCATCCCTCTGTGTAGAAATTAATTTGTGATACAACTTATTTTCGCAATTATACAGAGATACACATGTGTATTTGTATTTATACCTAACTTAATCCGTCAGAACTTACTTTTATTTTTGGTGTAGGATATTAGATACCATGAGATACGATCCTCTGTATGATGTAATTTTAAAGAACCAAGATCACTTGCTAGGCTATTGCTACAAGTTTTAACATTTTATACCAATCCTTGTATTCGAGTGTACTTAACTCTTATTATAGATTTTGTCAAAGGAAAATAAATTATGTTCATTAGCAATAACAGTTGGTTTCAATTTTTACCTTTACCTACTCTATATGTCAAGGGATAAGGAAAGAAAAGAATTTCTATAATACAAATCATTTTATTATTAGATAGACACAGTTCCCATCGCTTATCAGAAACAATGTACAAAGCTATAGTAGTAATATCAAAATATAAACAATATGCACCCTTCGTTTACTGCAAGCCTTGTTTGAGGGTAATACAGGGTAATTGAGCGCTTCTAGTTTATGCAGCTAATTGATATAAAACAGAATGCAAATGTTTATTGTTCACTACAATATATTATAAATGCGATGCAATAAAAAAAAGCATAGCAGAAATTTGTAATGAGGGAACGTGTGGGCCCGGTGGGCGCGGGCCATGCGCCGGCACCGGGAGCCCACCGCCATACCGATTGCCTCACAATGATGTATTGATTATTACACACACGATGGTTCCAGTGGGACTAGAGATTTTTAATTAAAATTGTAATACTTGGGTTACAGTGTCTTTCATTCATAACAAGCCCTTACACAAATGCTTATTCGTAATTATATATATTTATATAATATATATATACTTGTATAATATTGTTACAGTAATTTCATTACACGGTTATTATAATTTCTTGTCAGGCATCTGTATGCGGGCAAACTCGTCTAGATGTTTCTGACGATAGGTAGAATATTTTTCACAATAGCATTGTCGTTTTGCAATACGCACGGTGACAAGTATTCGATTTAGGATGCTTGAAAAGAAAATCTAAAAAAAATCTCTATACATCATACTTTGGGACCCGCTTGCAAAGCTGGATTATGCTTTACTGGTCGATGAAAGCAAAATTTTAAAATACAAATTTAATCCATTTGCAGTATCAATTACTCTGTGGAAGCGGTGAGCGTATAAAAAGAGTCCAGAATCCGCAAAGTAATTGTATCTGCACACAGTTACTAAACGCATCAGACACTGATGCCGCCATAATTTATCAATTATCAAAACAAATGAACGTTCCTTATCACTTCATAGAATATACAAAATGCAGTTACTTATTTCCCTGTGGAAAAAATATTATCTTATAGTATTCTTAGATCACGGCGCGTTTGATCTGTGAACAAGAGAAAGTATTCTTTAGACACATCTAATGTGAACTACGTCTGTTATCCCTATCATTTACATTTTACACGAATAATAATACAACGAAACTGCTAATGAAAGTGTTAACATCCGCCGTACTATTTACTATTACTTACGCCCACAGTTTGTCTAGTTAAATTCGCCGAATTATAAGAAATTAATCATATTATGATTCGTGTAAAACGGCACAATCCCCTCGACACCTCTACAGTTATAGTTGAAGTCATTCTTTGTATGAAATAAAAACTGATAAAACGCGAGAAGAACAACCGCTTTCGGAAAATGCCGAACATGATTATATTTTATTCTAGCCAGCCCCGCGGCCTAGTGGTGGCTTAGCGGTATAACAAATCACTTTAATTCCGATGGTCGCGAGTTCGATTCCTCGCACGGTACTAACATATGTGTTGAAGAGTATGATGGTCAGGGTTTTTTTTCTACGTATTAATATACGTATGTATGTATTTGTAAAAAACGTGTATCTAAGCATTTATATTACTTGTCTAGTACCCGAAACACAAATTCTGTATAACTTGGGACTAGATGACGCTGTGTGAATTGTCCAGGGATATTATTTATACTGTAATTATTATTACACTTTAATTAAAAAAAACATTATTCATTTGGGAAACTTATAACAAGAGCTACGAGAAATAAAATATGTCTTTCGTATGAAACATACTTAATCTGGCAAACCTACTTCACTAGTAAAAAAAAATTTAGATATTGCGATATTCAAATGTTTTTTCGAATTGTATTAAACATGTTATATACGAAATTTTAACATAAACACAGACCGTAAAAAAGACAAAAATATTTTAAGATCCAAAAACCGGAGATTAATCTTAATCTCCGGTTTTTGGTCATGGTCCTAAACCATGTGTTGGTGATGTACTGGCCATATAGTTTTATATTTCATATTTAGATATAGAGAATATTTTAATGTCTAAATTAAAGATTGTGACAGACAACAACACCATGTTTTGCGTAGCTTTTAATTTCGAACATCTAATTTTCCCGTATAAAAAATTATTTTAATTATTACAATATATTAATATGTCTACTGCACGTGAGTAGATATACAGATAAGATGTCATAATATTAACAATAGTAATATCATAAAAAAAAGTGATAGAACTCACCTCTAATAACCACAGGTAATTAAATATTCTCCTAACTTCTCAACTACAGATGCGGCTTGCTGGGGTTGGATGGGCTCTTCATAAAGCGAAATTACGACGGCTGAAATAAAGTTTATATTTACTTTATGTCTTAAATTAATTTATCGAAAAAGATTGATTACTTTTAGAAGGTTATAATGATAATAACAAATATATATAGGTTTAAAATGTTAACTTTAATTAACTTTTAATGTTAATGTTTATGTTAAGTTTAATAAAAACTTCCCTTTAGTTTGCATTTTATTCTTCCGTGCATTAACTATCATCTAAACAACAACAACAGACACCGTCTATACGGATAAGCATGTATAGAATTTTATACTAATCAGATTTTATCAATTTCTCTTTATTACATAGGGTATATATACTTATGTCTATTTTATCAGGGTAAGGTAACGTTAAAGTTAGAAAAAGATACTGTTGAAACAAAATTTAATATCAATTGAATCAATTTGTAGATGAATATTTATCATTTTAAACATGTGTGAAATTTGTTTACCTATTTCTCATGGAATCAAATCAATACACACTTTATCCAATAATAAAAGGACACGTAAACAACAGCTCGATAAAAAGTTACGCGTCGTTATCTGACAACGTCCGCTTGGGTGCTTGCCATCTTTAACTTTAACAAGTTTCTAAATCTTATTTAAAACCACTTCACGTTTCCATACGAGAATTCTAAGATATTTAATCCTAATTTAACCGAGACTGGAAGAGAGTACTTCCAACAATCTACCTCTTGCTATGATAATAAAATAAGATTTATAATTTCTTAATACATTACGAATTATTATAAAATATGTACATGTTTTTTGTTAGTATTGCAAACTGGTCAAATGACACGAATATTAAATTAGTGGTTTGCTCTTTGGAAACTTTCTTTATAGAAACAGCCAACTTTAGATTTCAATAGCTATGTACAACTTATTCATATTGTTACCGAGATAAGACTTTTAAAATGACCTTTACGTGGATGCCTCCCTAACCAATTTGATGCCAATCAGTTAACGTGTTTCGTTTCAAGGGCATTACAACGGGAGTAACATGATGTGATGGGAGTGGTGTTGTTCATATGTCCATAAGGTAGGCCGTTAGCATTGTTCCAGTTACATAAAACAAACTATATAGCGCTTGCTCACCTTGCTGTGTCTTCATGCAGTGTACGCCGACCTTGCCGAGTTTTGCGCGTATGATGCGGTCTGTGCCACTGAGGTAGATGTACCGCGAGCCAGCTATCGTCACGCCGCCGCTCGTTAGGAGTGATTCATTGTCAAAACCGGCCACTATTTTTGCAACCTCATCTTTTGATATCTGTTGACAAAAATACACTTCAGTCAATATTTTAATTTAAAAGTGTACAACAGCGTATTTATTATTACTAGGTGTCAAATTATATGTCAGTGACCAATAATAATCAAGTACTACATAATCACAGTTATCTGGTGTGTAAACCAGGGCCATGTCACCGAAAATCGAAGCCGAGACCGCGGTCGTTTATACAAAACAATGCGCTTACCAGTGCGTTGCGAGTGACGTCATGTCTGAATAACATGTAAAAGTACATAGTGGAAATTTGATATAATTATATGTGATCTAATTACGCAGACTTCACTAATTAGTTATCGCTATTTAGATGGAATGCATGAGAGAGTCACTAACGGATTTTTAACCCATTATAATAGATTCTGCTAAATATTTTTCAATCTACTTTTATTACTGAAGAGATCATATAAGTATTATTATGTACATGTATTACTAGTGAGAGAAATGAGGTGCCCATTTTAACGTATCGTATAACATATGTATATTAATGAAGATAAAATATACGATTATAATTAATTTTATATATTATAATTAATATACGATGATAATAAATATTAATTATTATATTAAAAAAATGCGAATTTTGTTATAGCAAAACAGGAAATTAAAGAAATTATATTATAAAAATAAAACCTACAAGAACTATATGCAACTATATGCAGATGGTTTAAATCAATAACTAAAAATAGCATTCTATAAAATATTATTAGTTTGAAATTTAATATTTTTCACCTTACATAGTGAAGATTTGGACTTTAGTGACTAAATAAAAATAATTGTACCGTCTTGATTACTTGTCATCCCAAATCTTAGATAAGAAAATAATCCTGTGAACAAAGTATCCGTATCCTGATTTAAGTAGCTTAGGCCGGTTAAGGCGATGACTGGTACGCCTATATACACGTATACATACACGTAGGGTTGTTAAATATATTTTTTACGACAGAATCCTCAATCATTTTCAACCGCATACTCTAATATTTTGAGTCTTGATATTACAGTATACTGTTGAAAATTTGCTGTGACATATACTAATATCAATAATCATTTATATTTCAATACGGTAATAATATTATTTCAGTAAAATGAACTTTACTTTTTTTATACAATTTTTTTTTGTTACATCTAAATATTAATCTTCAATATTTCTATTGTAAGGTTTTTAGCAACCCTAGAGAGATGCACGCGATTGGGTGCAACAGAGACATTCTATATAGAATCTATTTGAATAATGATATTATTTTGGATTAAGAGTTATTATTGAATTGATAACTATCCAGGACAACAAACTCATAGAAACATGATTTAATGATGCAATTAAAATGTCTGTTAACTTGATATTTTAATTGTTTCCTCATTAAATGTAAATTACATTCGACATATACGTAATGGTAATTTCCCAATGAGAAGAAAACCAGAACTAAGTAAAGAGTATTTAAATATAAGAACAACATTTACTACGTAAAACTGTTTCTTCCCCTAGTTTTCTCAACAAATCACATGGTACACCTGTACATAAAAATAACTCGAATATGAACGAAGCCAACATGGGAATAGTATGCTAGATCCTTTTTTTTATATGGAAACCCGTCAGCAGCAGTGCGAATAGAAGTTATTAACGAAGTTGACATGTCAGGTCAGTTATTTCTGCATATCACAATCTTCTCTTAACAACACATTTATTTCATCGAAACAAAACTATAATTACTGTTGGCATAATGAAAAAAAAATATGTGGCCTCATATATTGTGGACTGTGATAGTTCGTGCTAGTAATATACAATGTCAGGATGATCTCCATGCGGTTACCCTCGAAACCATCGTGATAAATTCTCAACATCCATTAAAAAAAACATACCAGCGGACAAAACGCTGTGTAAAACGCTGTTTAAATTATAACATTTGTGACGTTGTACGTCACAAATGTTATAATTTAAAAACTTCTAATACTATCATTTAAATTAGATTTAGAATAATTCAATTATATCTTTTTTTTAACTGTTGTTTTTTATAATATAAATGATAAACTTGTGTGACACTTCTGTGAATGTAAAAATATTTACAAAAATGGCACCTTTGCCTTCAACATCAAATTATAGACTATTATTTTATATCATTGCGCGGTAGTAGTGTAAAGAGAAAATTTTTCATTACTACACCTGTACGAAGCCGGGGATAAGTAGTAGAAAAAAGAAACCTGTTAAAATATCTACTTGCTACCTCGGTGTCCATTTGCGACTTAAACTTTACCGGTTTTCTATTTATTTTTACTGTTTTAACACGTTTTATGCAGCCACACATCTGGCTGTTCTATCTGCAAGTTTTTGTAATACATATTAAGAAGTAATCTACCTTGGTATAATTGATTTAGACGCGCAGTACGTTGCATTAGCAACGCCCACAAGCCGGTACGGTCCGAATTTTAACTGTACAGTCGAGAAAAAATGTCAAATACAAGACTAAACAAAAACCTACTAATAATATAACGAGTGAACTGTATTGACAACAACTTATTAACAGTATGACTATCATAACTAGAAAAAGGCCAGAAATATACAAATATATTGAAAAAATGTGACTACGGCTATCTTCATTTTGTACAATAATAGTAATATTACTAAAATAACTGTGTGGTATAACAAAATGTCTTCATTCCGCTAATATTTAGTTAAACTTTAGTTAGTTACTTTTAGTTAAACTAACTTATCAATAGAAGTATCAGCAGTAATACGTTACATTTCTTTTTGTCGTCTAACCGAGACATAGCGGTGTACGATAACTTTCGATTAATTTAACTTAAAAATTATATAAGAACAAATATTAGAAAAATATATGTATCGTATGATTTACAAATAATACATACTATTAATAGGTTAACCTAATCTCCATTTTACCATGTTCTCCGATGTTAATTCAATTAAGTTTTTAAAGTTCAGCTATGACTGAACCGAAAAGCCGAAACCGAAAAATAAATTTATTTTTGCTATGACTGACTCAGCGATATTACTACCGAAACAGAAAAATGATTTTATTTCAACTATGACTGATTCGGCGACTTTACTGCCGAAACGGAAAAAATATTTTATTTCAACTATGACTAACTCGGAGATTTTACTGCCGAAACGAAAAAAATATTTTATTTCAGCTATGACTGACTCGGAGATTTTACTGCCGAAACCGAAAAAATATTTTATTTCAGCTATGACTGACTCGGAGATTTTACTGCCGAAACAGAAAAGCAACTTTATTTTAGCTATGACTGGTTCGGCGATTTTAATGCCGCAACAGAAAAATAATTTTACTTAAACTAGTCAAAATCGAAAGTATAGTACACCACTGACAACAAGCAGTGTACCCTACTTATACACTTCACTGGAATTTACTGTTTAATTTAAACTCGGCAAGTGACTTAACGGGTTCGCGAGTAGATTGGGCTTGCGGGGTGTCGCTCGAGTCAAAAATAGATACGGGTAAATATGGTCAAGTTGAAGTTCAATTGGTTTCAGCTTAGTTAAAAATAGAATCCAGTTTCTAACCTTGACCGTCCTTGTTAATTTTCCTAACCAATAATAATACCACTAAATAAACGTGTTGTTTTTGCATTGTTAAAATAAAATATTACTGTATAAATACAATAAGATTAGAAAGTAATACAACTGAACGTGGATTTACGAAAGGTGAGAGTCCGTAACGGATATATTTACAAAACCCTCGTATATGTATACGAAAAAATGTAGGAAATGCATCACAACTCAAAACAGTTACATTGTATTAAGCATAAGTAACTAAAGCTTAGGGGGAAGGGTATTGTTAGTAACGTGGACTAGTATTGTAGGGAACATTACTTAGGTCCTGCTCCTTGATGGTTCACCCCTGCAAAACATTGAGATTCACTACTGATGAATTCGCCACGATGGACTAACTAACGTGAGTTTGACTTCGCCCTATCGTGCCCGTATGCCGTTAGCGCAGGTGGTCCACAATTCCATACTTATCTATTTAAAAAATACCTATAACTAGGTATACAAGATCTGGATCTAGAATCTGCAGATTACGTGAGACCATGCGATCATAAAAATATTAATATTATACAAGTGAAATTACTCTAATTAGAAAGAAAATCAAACCAACATATAATTTTAGATTGCCAAGTATCATCAACATATTTGTATTAAAACTATTTATACCAGCATAAAAATTACTTTGCATGGTAACAAATTAATAACAAATTGAAATCACGTTAAATAGGTCGTCCACATCCAATATATACTATATTGGATCTAGGGTAAGTCAGGAAAATTGGGTTAATAAGTATGTACCCAAAATAAATTGAATATTTGTTTGGAACATAGAAGCATTAATAATATTACAGGACTATTTATTAACTTGAAATGACTGTTTGAAAGCAGACTCCGACAGGAATAACTGTAGGTAAGTTTATTTCGTAAATGTAGAAGATTAAAACATGCATTAAAAAATATTCCTGTGGTTACAAATCTTTCACTATTCTGTTTATTTTTATTTTTTAAATAATAATAATCTAGTTTGACAGATATTATAAACGGATATTGTTAGTATGGCTTCTCAAGTAAACCTGGAACTATACTCCTTACTTTTAAACCCTTTTGTACAGGAACATTTTATTAGAGTAAGAATGTTATGAATAATAATTTCTATGTTGGTTACATTCTGAATGAAACCAAGATTCCCTTGAATTAAGGCCACATGAACAAATAAAATGAAATAGATCTGTTCTGCCCCTCATTGTAAATACATATTAAATTTATATAACTACAATTAGAATAAATAGAATTCATTTAACATGGTACTGTGGTAGACAGCTTTTATCTACAGGAGTTGCTTTGTTAACTGAGTGACTCATGACAACATCATTACATAATAAACTATTGTTATGTTATGAAATTAAGTGAATTAACTAAATAGATTAAATACTCAACTAAATAAAATTAACATTTGGATCAGTTTATGAAGATTTCATCTATATATTGGTACTTTTTCTAACAATATTAATTGGATTATAGTACTTCATTTTATTTTAAAAATCTTATAAAGATAAGGAAGGTTCTTTGTTGAATAAAAAACATTATTTGATTTGTCAGTGTAAACCATTATGTTTCAGAAGTATGGTGAAAAAATTAAAATATATGTTTATTCAATTTTTTCTAGTTAATTAGTGATTCTATATTTGTTTAACAGAAAACATTGTGAACTATAATTGTAAAGTATATGACTTTAATAAGTATAAAAGAAGATATATAATAGGTAGTTATGAAGTGAGTCATATCATCATATTTTAAAATAAATTATATGTATTCATTCATTACAAGAAAATTTAAATGTTCCATCAATTAATTAATATCTATTTATAGGTAGACCAACTGCCATATATACCTATATATGTTTAACCTGGCTGTTAAAATCAAACTCTGTGGAATTGACTAACATAGTAATTACTCATTTAATATGCAGTAGGTAGGTATTATCTCTATGAGGGAGGTACTTTGTTATCTAGATCTGACATCTATATCCATACATAGAGTTAGTAACCAAATCACAATAAAACATGTTGCACAGGGGGGGGGTTTTAAGATTTAGAGAGAGATATTTTTTATATTTAATTATTTCTGATGAAATTAATGTATATACAGTATCAATTGTAAGAATCAAATTAAAATAGGTCACAATAATTGAACATAATATTTAATGTTAAGATACATTTGAAATTTAGTTGCACACATATAATTTGTATCATAATTTTAATTTAAATATATCAAAAACTACCTATATATTTTTTTTATAAGACATATAGGTAGTTATAGTATAAAGTTTTCTACTTTCTTTTAAACTTTCAATACATTAAACAATTATAGATTAAATTAAGAAGTGTTAGAACACAATTATGAAGTATAATTAGAAAGTCATTCTAATTATACTTCATAATTTGGTTCTAGCATTTCTAAACAGTCACATATTCTTAATAATTTCATATTTTTAGGTAAGTAGAGCAAAATATTATTTATATTGGTATAAAAGAATGGCAATTTCAAATATTATTTAATTATATCTGATTATTTTATTTAAAATATTTACATTTACATACATTATTTACAGCAAATGTACAATAATTGAATAACAGGATAGAGTTAATAAAATTAATATTAGATATCAGAACTCATTTATTTTAACATTTAACCTGAAATGTTTTAGCATTTGAGTGAAATTAATTTATTCATTATACAGTCCTGATTATAGGCCCCAATTGTAAATTAGCATTCCTAAAACAAAACTATGAAAATAATATTATCTGGTATAGTCTAGTACTGATAGAAATGCATTATGGCAATGGAATACTAAGATTAAGTATTATACTGGCAATTTTTCATTATCACATTAGTGAAGGCAATCATGAACGAATAATTACAATTTGTAAATTATGTTAATGATATATTTTATTAATTTTTTAGATAAATATATTTTGTCAATTTTGAGATATAAGCACAATTTAATACGATGTGTAATATATAACTTCGCATTGACTATAAAAAATATTCACGTTACCCTAACATATTGAGAATATTAAGGAAATAAAAAAATAATTTTATATTATCTAGTCCAAGAATATTCAAGATTACACCGGCCGGCAACTTATTATAGGGTCAATTTATTGAAATAGTTAATAAGTATATATCTTAAGTGTAACATAGAAATTGATAACTAGATTGTAAAAAAATATGTCAGTATAGATGTGTGATAAGACTTAAAATTCACGTTTCTGATTCGAACCGGCTGCAGACGGCTAGTCTGCCACATGTCGCCATCTTGTCAAACTTGTTGGATAAAATTCGTCATCCATTTTTTCGTCATGCACTTTTGACACTATATTGTCGACACTTTTAAGCACAAATGCACCAAAAAGAAATGTTTTAAAGTATCACTGGCCACAAAAAAAACCTACATTGCGATAAACTTACTTCGAAGGCTTCTGACTTGGCCCAGACATTGCCATCGTGACCGGCAATCGCTGCTTTTGTTACACATCTCGATGCCATTAACTGTTTATCTACATAATCTTGCCAGCTCATTTTGAAAGAGTTCGATTATTAAAAAATAAAACTAATTGGCTAAATCACAATTACTCTTCACAGCGAGCAACCGCTCCACACGAACAAAAAGCACTGCCGTTTCAAAATGGCAGCATAACCATAGACAAGACAGGATATACAGTGATGCCAATATACTGCACTGATAGTGTATGTCTATGACATGAGGTTGGTAACTCATTAATAGATCGTAACAGGTAAAATAAATGCCTCTGTCATTTCTTCACAATATAAACATAATATCTAAAACGTTCTTGTGAATTGTGTCGATAATAATAAAATATACATAATTTCCATTCTTGCAAACAAATCAGAGATTATAGTGAGGATATTAGGAAACAATAACATGTTTTTATACAATATAGATAATTTTGTTTTATTTTTTAATAATTATTTAAATATCCGCAAAAGACATTGAAATTAATATATACCGAAATGCAAATACTTACATATTACAGAGACCGAACTATACAAACATATGCATATGAACGGATTGACCTATTTTGAGGGCGGTTCAGTTAAACTAATTTATTATTTAATTTATTCTATTCATTTTTTAACACATGAATTAAAATTACTTTTCACAAAATATTTGAAATTTGAATGTAGAGTAATATATTGATTTAAATATAATTTCTTTTGGTCCAGCCAATTTTATCATTGTAAATATTTATGCCACTAAAATGCAAATATGATTCTGTCTTATCATTCATTAACTGCTCCTTTCTTAACCAATTTATTTAAGGTCGGCATTATATAGCTTTCATTTAAACTTAATTCTGTATATTGGACAATATAATACTCCCTTTAAGACTACTCTGCTAGAAAGAGACATGCTTCTTAATAGGACGTCTCTAACGGAACGATTCTTCCATACAAATATGTCTATCAGAGGAATTATATATCTAGTTTTAATATTTTTTAGAGTCTAATTAACTTTTCCGTTAAATGTAAGCAACTTAGAAATAAAATTGTAAACTTAATTCTATATATAATTCATTCCGTTTATTCATGTGAGTTTAGTTCATAAAATATGCATAAATTGGAACATCTGACTGTAATGCCAACATATAGTTTTACCCATAAAAGTGACGAACTTCCGTTATTTTATTCTGCCGTATATTAATATTATTAACTTCTAGTAATACACTAAATCTATGAAAGTTTTCATATATTTAAAAATCTAATTATAATAAAGTGAAAATTATTTTCTATTTGATTTTGCAACAAAATACAAAATTTTTAATTAATATAAAAAAAGCTTGTATTATACTTAACTTGACCTTGCTAGTTCTTTTCCGTTCAGCTACCGCGATTGGAACATGTCCTATTCACCTGAAAGAAGGTAAGCTTAGATTTTGAGTAATTTAAACGTTATTATTATGAATGTAACCCAATTATTTGTATATCTAGAAGCCTGAATTAAATGGTCAATTAGTTATGTCGTAAATCTACATAATTATTGTAGAATTTCATCAATGTCTCCGGTCGCCGATTGCCAACATGGCGCTGGCAGAAATTAACAAGTTCTGTTAAGTGCACGTGTTTTATAGTTTTTGAGATACTGCACGAATAGAATTGCTTTGAACCATATATTAATGAACATATTTATGGTGGTTACAACTAAATTTCTAAATAATTCCATAGAATCGGCCCCACCTGAAATCGCATTTTGACAGTAGCGCCACTCTGCGATTGTAATGATTTTTGCATATTCATGATAGTTTTAATTTATGCATTGACAGACGTTTCTATCAATACATATATTAGATGGGCATGTTAATTTACTTACAGATCAGAAGATTGGCCGGAGGAATCCAAAAATGGGCCGAAGGATCAAGGAACTTATGACGGTCCCCCAGGCATGGAGCCTGAAGGGGCACTCGATACCAATTGGCATCAAGTCGTGGAAAGCTTTGATGACATGAATCTGAAGGAAGAATTGTTAAGGGGTATATATGCTTATGGTTTCGAAAAGCCATCGGCTATCCAACAGCGCGCCATTATGCCATGCATTCAAGGTCGCGATGTCATTGCCCAAGCCCAGTCTGGAACTGGCAAAACTGCTACTTTCTCCATTTCAATTCTACAGCAGATTGACACTAGTATTCGAGAATGTCAAGCCTTGATTCTGGCCCCAACCAGAGAATTGGCTCAACAAATACAAAAGGTTTGTGAATTGTTTGAATCTATTATTTTGTGGTTACTAGCTTTATTGCATTGATATAGTATCTTATAGCTTACTGTACAGTAACTGTAAAGTTTATACTTCATTGATTATTTTATAATTATTGAATATATTTAGGAGTATTATAATTTTATGCTAAATTTATTTTTATTGAATATAGGACTGAATACTTGGTGCTATTAATTAAAACAATTTATTAAACCATATCACATGCTTATTAATAAACCATTGACTTAAAAAAATATATTGAGAAATTGTTTTATGGTTTGCCAAGAATTTTCTAAGTTTTGAGTAAACTGTAAGTTTGCAATAATGAGTATATTATGTATGTATATGTTATTTTTATTGTGGACTGTCATTTTTGCAAAGTACTATACATTCATACTAAATAGTGTAATATTTATAGGTGGTGATTGCTCTGGGTGATCACTTGAATGCAAAATGCCATGCCTGTATTGGTGGAACCAATGTCCGTGAGGACATTCGTCAGCTGGAGAGTGGTGTGCATGTTGTGGTGGGCACACCTGGGCGTGTCTATGACATGATTACTCGCCGTGCTCTTCGTGCAAATACTATTAAACTGTTTGTTCTTGATGAAGCTGATGAAATGTTGTCCAGAGGGTGAGTCACACAAATATATTACTATAATATTTAGTGATTTAATTTATTATTTATTATATTAATTAGATTTCAAGACTTAACAGCTTCATTACTTGATTACATATTAATTGTCTTATAAAATTTGTATAATGTAATAAGACAGTTGATTCTATTGTGTGAATTATAACTGTTGTGTACATCATGCATTAAATAAATTGTGAGTATTCATTATATTAATTTTTTACAGATTTAAAGATCAAATCCATGATGTGTTTAAGATGTTGTCTGCTGATGTTCAAGTAATTTTACTTTCTGCTACCATGCCTGATGATGTATTAGAAGTCTCCCGATGCTTCATGAGAGATCCAGTCCGCATTTTAGTGCAGAAGGAAGAGGTAAAATTAGTATTATCAGAAACATGAGGTTTTTTAAAATTAGTCTTCCAAAATTCTATTTTCTTAATTCTTCATTTACAGCTTACATTGGAAGGTATTAAACAATTTTTCATTGCAATTGAGATGGAGGAATGGAAATTAGAGACTCTGTGTGACTTGTACGACACCTTGTCTATTGCTCAGGCTGTAATTTTCTGCAACACCCGCCGTAAGGTAAATAGATTATAATATATTTCTTTAACATCAATCATACAAACCATACCATATAAATAACTGAAACTTCAATATTTAAAAAATAAAGTTCAATAATAACTAAATTGTATTTGCTTTTTACATTATTCTTAATTAAGCAATATGGAAATATCCCAGTCATGCTTTAGGATGGGATTGTTCTCATCATAGGAATCCAGATATATGGGTGATAAAAAATCCATGGGTTTTCATATAAAAATAAAGGTATTTATATATGTACACTAGTGGAACAACTTAATAATGTAAATGTATGTATGTAATAGGGCATCTGGCCCTATTCTAAATCTTGAACATTTTACTTTATGGTTTAAAAGTTTAAAAACTAAACTGTATTGGGAATAATTGTTAGTTTTATTTTTACCCACATGTCTGAGGATTTTCATGTCGATTATAAGAATTTATCAGGACTTATTCATTATGTCACACCTGCAATAAAAACTAACATATGTTATATAGATTACTAATAAATAATATTACAGAAACTATATCAAAATTTTACTATGTTTTAATTGTACTCTAATATAATAACAGTTTAGGTAAAGAATTTATTTCATAAACTATTATTCCATTATAATAAAAATATACGTATTTTTATTAATTATATTTCTATAGTGTATGTGTATTTATTATGTCAGGTGGATTGGCTCACTGAATCTATGCATGATCGTGACTTTACTGTGTCTGCAATGCACGGCGACATGGACCAACGGGAACGTGAGGTCATCATGAGGCAATTCCGTACAGGATCTTCTCGTGTGCTTATTACTACTGACCTATTGGCCCGAGGTATTGACGTGCAACAAGTATCATGCGTGATCAACTATGATTTGCCAACTAATCGTGAAAATTATATTCATAGGTAAGATCAAATATATTACATTATGTTTCAGGATAAGTGTAAATACAGTTACAATTATAACAATAGTTACTATATTCGATCTGATTATATATATTTCTATTTGAAATTGAATAGTATGTTTTAGTAACTCAGATTTGTTTAAAAGCAATGCTTTAAAATGTTAGTTTGACTTAAATGAGTCAGTAATTACACTACTTTTTAAGTATACTAAAGTACTGGTTATTAGGTATAGATTTTATTAATGTTTATTTAATTTAGTCTTATTGCATTGTATACAAATTTTATCAGATTTGTTGTCAAAGCAAGAATATTTATTAATTATAATGAAGAAAGCTCTATTTAAATTTGATTTATTAAAATTAAAATAATTTATAAAAATATTAGTTAGTAAAATCCAAAGAATTCCAGTTTTCTTTCAGCAACATATTACTATAACATTTTGTATAGGGCACTAAATAAAAAACGCTAACAAATTCTATGTACTGTATTTCAGAATCGGAAGAGGTGGTCGTTTCGGCCGTAAGGGAATTGCTATCAACTTTGTAACTGAAGCTGATAAGAGAGCACTGAAAGACATAGAGGACTTCTATCACACAACAATTACAGAAATGCCTAGTGATGTGGCTAACCTCATCTGAGGTGTCAGCGCTCTCCCCGTTTATACTTTGTGCCCTGCGTTCTATTGCGATATTTATAAGGTGTGAGTATTAGGAGATATCTCCTAATTACCGCTGTGCCGAATTTTTTACTGGAACTTATTTTATTTGGACCGATATATTTTGTTTTAGTTTAATTAATGAATACATTACTATACTATAATAGACGTATCATTATAAGTTTAATATACATAGTTAGGTGTAAGACCGGCTCGGCCGGATGGCCCCCGTTCCGCGCAGGCCTCTCTGCCGACTGCAGAGAGGTCTCATCGGGTACTGGAGAGGCTATTTCAATCACAAAAGTACTAGAAGGAAACGATGTAATTGTAACTCATTTTCCAGTTGTACATAATATGGTAACTGTTTTTGTAATACGGTAAATAAATATAATTAAATAATCCTATATGTATTGTTATTCATATACTTGGAATTGTAGCACTCCATTCCCGATCGGAACCTTAATTTCTAACCGATTGTACAGAGTTTGATAATAAATTTTGTTTGCAGAATACCTACCTACTGAGCCGTTGAAACGCACTTTGGACACAACTATGTGGAAATAATAAATCAAAATTTCCTCAATAAGTTGCTACTTTCTTTTGACGGGTCCTTATATCCTGTATTCCTATATTGCTTTTGCATACTTTTGAAATCTGTTTTCTACATGGTTTTTTATGTTCATTTCGAATTTATTTATATTTTTGGAATAAATTTTGTTCGAAATATTAGAGTGACTTTTACGAAGTTAATTAAATTAAGGTTCCTAATTTTAATAATTGTTTCTACAAAGAGTAGTATTTCATACATATAATTTAACAAGTCATCATAGGTGTTATTATGGCTTATTGATAAAGTCATAGCATAATATTCTAGTAACGGTTTTATTTTCTCTACGGTATTAGTAATTAATCGAATTTACAATTAAGATGTTTATTTGTAAAATTATAGTAGGACATAGAATGAAGTTTTAACGCTTTTGAAATAAAGTCAAACTTAACCTTTTTTTGGTATTGATTTCTTTTTCTTCATATAAATTAATATAACCAAATATTTCATTCAAGGAATGATCTTTTAGGAAATATGGATAGGCATATTTAATAGTTATGGAATATTCTATCCTCCTAACTTGAGTTGAAATCTGATCCACTCAAAAAATTGATCATTTTTTATTTCCTATCGATTTTGCAGTGACGGAAACACCGATAATATAACATTCATTTAAATAAATTAAATCATCATCAGTTTTTGAACAGACATTTAAAGTGGTCAAAATTTTTAATGCTATATTTAGTCTACACCTATAGTACAAATTAGTGACTCGCCGCAAAATATACACTTAAGTATTCCGCAGTAATTAGTATTGTTGGATGAAAACCGCATCATTTGTCTGAAAACAATCTGTTAATTATTTATATTATCCAGAAGGATAACATACCAAAGGATTTACTGGAATTACCCTTAAATAAATTCAAAACATCTGTTAAATCATAGTTACTGAGCAAAGCCTATTACTCACCAAACGACTACGAGAATGACGATAGTGTTCATGCACGGGATTTTCATTTAATGTTAGACATAGACACCTGTATAAATCTATACATATAAATAGAATTGAGTGTCTGTTTGTAATATTGAAATAACCGTTTTTCACTACATGCATATAATCAATAAATATGGTACATACACCAAAATAACATTTTTTACAATTTTTGTCTGTTCCGTCTAATCTCTAAAACTTGACTGGCAGGTAGCTGATGTAATAAGGAGTAACTTAGGCTACTTTTATATTAGAAAAATAAAGTTAAATTCAATGGAGTTTCTACCCAGTTGCTTCTCATATGGATCTATATACTGAACTGGACGGTAGGGAAAAGTAATATAAAAAAATTGACGTTCATAAGCGGCTAAAATATCCTGAATAAAACCTAACATGAATAAAAGATTTTTTAATTCAAATTTGAAAAGGTATATACAGACACGCGACGTGTGAACGAATATATTATTTTTACATACTTGTAACATGATGTCTAATCATGTTAAAACTAATGTGTAATTTTTTATTGGAATAATGCACCTGCCGGCATAACTGTTAGCAACTGTAACGCTGGCATCAGTGAAGGATAAGATGCTAATTTTATTACCCTTCAGGTCAGACCTGTTAGGTTTTGACGAATTCACCAGGAAATTATCACGCGCGATTTACCACGCAATTCCTCATGGAAACCATTACATGAGGAATTGCGTGGTTAACTGACATGGTACATAGCGAGCAATGGTGTCATCAGTCCACAATGCCAAGAACTCAGACGGTTTCCAGGGGCTGGAGAACTAGCGGTCACTAGGCTTCATTACTTACCCTTCCCAATTTATAGATATGAATTACAGTTACAAACCTATAAGTTTTTACTGAACTCATATGTGTACAAACTTTTTTGAAATGGTATTTTGCCTCCTTCAATTAATAAAATAGTTCGAAAGATAAGGGTAATACCATTTAATAACGGAACTGAAAAAACGTTTCGCTATTTGATGTCTCTAATTAAATGTAGTATTCAATAAAAATACACTAAACATTGAACAATAATATATTACTGCATAATTAACAATAGTCAAGTCAATATATTTATAAATTATATACAAAGAAGCTTATTAATTAATCTTAATAAATTAATATCACATTTCTGGTAATGTTCATTTGAATTATATAATAATGAAATAACACTTTAAATAAGTATCATAAGAAAGCAAAAAGTAGAATGAGTAATAGTACAGATATAGGGAACAGTATATAAACAGACATTCGAGGGTGACATACTGATACTAGAATGGAAGAATCATCATCGTCATATGTTAAACCATCTCTTGTAGGCACTTCTACAATGACTAGTTCATCACTAAAAAAGCTAACATCAAACTCACATTTGGTTTTATTTATGCATACTTTTGTTTCAGACATATTTGTATATTGGAATGTTGGTTTATAAATATCAAAAATTGCATGAATGTCATTGAGAACAAAATCATTATCACTGTAAAATATATAATAAAAATATCCATCTAATAGAACATCATGTGTCACTTTCAGTGTAGTAGTTCTTTCTAAATATTTTGTGCTGTTGCACTGGATTGAAAATGGGAAAAAATTATTTATAAGAATATTATTTTGATAACACTCATGTAAATTATTTTCGAAACTGGAAACAGAACTATCTTGTGGAGATTTCATTGTATTATTAAAGGCATTTCCACCATGATGTACACCGGTATCTAGAACTGTGTTAGGATTGTGTAACTTTTTTGGAACTGTGTCTCTCTTCTTTCGTGTTGGTGATGGTGTATTAAACTGGTCCATCTTAGTTGAATTTGACATCCCTCCAAAACTCAAAACATCATCATCATCTTTATCAATCCACTCACCATTATCACTTTTATTTTCAACTATTTGTATGGATGTTTTGTTTTGATTCTCATTAGGATTTTCTAATGTTACTAATACATGTCCTTGGTTTTTTAAAGTAGGATGAGATTTCTTATATTTGTCTCCTTCTAAAATACCACAGGTATTTAATATTTTATCTCCTTTAACTACCAGTATCTTGGAGCCCTCGTAACGAGAACATGCTTTCAATTCAACACTAGCACCTTTAAACAAATAAAAACCCCAATACTCTAAGGTATCATCAGGTAATGTCATTGATTTTCTTAGTCTTATATGTTTCTTTTTATCTGATAATTCAGGTTTCCCTTTCATTTGGAATGCATTAAAACTTGTATTCATTGTTAAAGAATGCTTCTCACAAAAAACTGATGACTGACCTTTATGAATTTGTATAACATCAGAGTCCGAAATTTTATACATGACGTCTGCATATTTTATATTTCTTAAATATAATGGCAAAACTATGAGTATTGTTGGTAAAATAGTTGTCAGTATACAAAAAGTTATCACTCTTCGCGATCCATGCATTTTATCTCCATCTGGAAAATGTAAGTATGATAAGGTATGTATAATGTATATATAGTTAAAGAAAATTTTTCATCTATTCTGTAAAACTATACTGTATTGTGTGCATTATATCAAACAAATAATTTCAAAAGCTGAATAATAAGCAATTTATTATGGTAACTTATGAAGTTACCATCAAAAATTACTTATGTTTAAAAAGATAACATAGCAAATGCATATTAAAATTTCTCTTAAGGTCAGCAATATGTATCACTGCTGTCCATCATCAGTATCCTTTTTATATTATTCCTCTTCAACATAAGATATTAGAATTGTAGTGTTGGCATTTTGAAAACAACAATTTAGTGTTGTGTTAGTTAGTAGTTAGTGTTCTGTTTACTTTCTTTTAAGTATCCTTCTATTAAAATTTTATATAATCTGTTCGTACATTTTAAATAATATATGAGGTAGATCTTCAACGCAAAAAATATATTAAATAAAAACTACTATCACATACACTTGTGGAATAGAGCAAAATTTTGTAGTATTTATACAATGTAAAAAAGTACCTCAGTATAATTGTTATTCAAGGATATGTTAGGCATCAAACAAACATAATCTACATTGTGATATTCTTACAATGTAGATTATGGCTATAAAAATAAGGACAAAATTAAATTTAATAAATACTACATTTTAAATTTAATACACAAAACATCACTGATTGGAAAAACTATCATTATAGCATATTATTAACTCTATGTTCATAAAACAACTATTTGATAATAAAACATTACATTACTAAATACCATATATGAGTGAAAATAAAATACGAATTAGTCTCAAGTACAAGTACTTACATGACCTAATAATCCAGTATTACTTTATACAGCCGTGTTCTTTTTATATAATAGTGTGCAGAAATTGTGAGTAACGTACATATTTATTTTTATATGATTGATCACTTTGATGAGTTACAAAATTTAAAATTGTTTACTATACAAATAAATAGCGACTGCAAACAGTAAAAAAAAATTATAAGCGTAAATCTACAGCTGAGCGTTCCATAATACAAATTAAGTGAACTAGTTCACGGGTCTTTTGCTATTTAGTTCTTTTGTTAACATACAAAACATCTTGCTAAAAAAAATTAAAACATATTTGCGAACATATAAATCTCGATGCTGATTAGCCTTTTTTCGACCAAAAAAAGCGTACGAAAGAAGTTCGCAAGAGACCCGAGAATTAAATTGACAGATCCCAATCGCGAACTATTATCCGCAAGACTAAAAAGATTTATGAAGTTAAGTTATTAATTAAGTATTTAACCCAGTAATGAGTATATCATTACTGGGTTAAATACTCTCTAACTTACGTTTGTTGAAGTAGGTGTGACCAGAATATGTAATTATTCGTAAAAAAGTATAAAAATTATCTTACAAACATGGAGTTATTACACTATCCACAGATTAGGGTTGTATCATAATTATCTTAATCTTAATAACATTTTAAACGTGGATATTTGTAAGTATAGATGTTTGTTACTTTTTTACGCTAAAAACTACTGAACGGTTTTTGATGAAAATTTACAGTAATATAGCTTTCGCATCAGAATAACACAAAGGCTATATTTTTATTGAAATTTTTATACTGAAATTTAACGCGGGTGAAATCACTGGCAAGCTAGTATATTATAAGTCCGTATGATCGTGTATTTACAAGCTATTATTAATATGTTATATATGCCTTCACTAACTATTTGGCTCCGTATTTCACGACAAAAATTTTCAAAGCGCTAAATAAAGTGCTTAAGGGGGTCTTCCTATGCGATGGGTTGAAAAAATCGATTTTTTTTTTCATAAATTGCTCCCTTAACATGTCTAGAATAAGGTAGTAAAGCGATTTTAGAAAATTCGAAGTCGTTTTAAAGATACAGCAGGTAAAAGAAAGAGCGGTTCGGAGCGGTGAATATAAGTTAGAGACCGAATATATTGTACCGTCGGCTTTATACCTGGCCTCCCTTTATTAATATATTTGTTTATACAAGTTTAGACACGTTTCTACAGACTTAAACAGAAATTTCTATTGTTATAATATTTTACCGAAGTTATTTTAGTCTTGGTTGAACACGAAGAGAGCAACAATTATAAATTATTTTTTTTCATAATGAGTGGACAAAGGATTTTTGAGTATTTTCTTCTGATGAAAACCCTCAGCATCAATTTTGTCCAGAAGGCGAATAAAGTTGGTGTAAATGGCGTAAGGCTTAAGCTAATAATGAACTGGACCAATTTCATCACGATAAACCACCTCTAATTCCGCAAGTCCAAGAAGCTATCAAACCGGTTTTCGAAGATTTATCGAAAGACGAATTATTAATTCGTTGTTTAGGAGCAGAGACACAAAACAATAACAAATCTTTGAATTCTTTGATTTGGACTTTCGCTCTTAAACATCTTCATTCTGGTCCCAAAGTTGTTGAAATTGCTAGCTACTTAGCAGTTATTATCTTTAATGAAGGTTTTCAAGGTATTTTAAAAGTTATGTCGATTATGGGATGCCCTGTTGGTCGTGAAGCCCAAGCGTATGTTGAGAAACGGGATGAAAAGCGAATCTTACGTAAAGCGGCGCGTAAGTATTCGTTAAACAAGCCAGGATTGACTCAAGAGCTGAACAATCTATATTTAAAAGAGTTTCACGAGGAAGAGGAAGGAATACTCTATATATGCATCGCCGATTGAGAGTAAGTTGATATTTTAATAGTTTTTAACGGACTTGAAACTTTAAACGCGTTTTTCTCAAAACTGTGTTTTTCAAACTTTCCTCCATTGTATCTCAGAAACGAGAGACCGAATTACTTGAAATTTACAGGGCACACTCAATATATGCAAACGCATGGAATGAACTATTATCAATAGAAATTTTCAAAACTTCGATTTTTTTATAGCAAAAAACAAAAAAAAAAAACGCCTAATTTGCAACTTTTATTTCAAATGTCTATCAAAAATCCAATTTTTTTTATATTCATTTGATTATAGGTCATTCCGTGACCGCCTACAAATTAAAACGCCGTTTTTTTTTTTTTTTTTCAGATAAGCCGATCAGCCGGAATCGTGGAGGAAGTGGGAGCTCTTTTTTTCGAGGCGGGGGTGTTCAGAGCGCTGTAACTCTATTTTGACTGAATATTTTTAGCTGAAATTTTATATTTATACTGTCCAAATATGTGTTAATAAATGATAAAAAACTTGAAACTCTAAATATTTACTGGTCGTAGAAAAAAAATCCTAAAATATCCCTAAAAAACAGGCCGTCACATAGGAAGACCCCCATAATTATTTTATATATAGGCACACATGTAAAATAAATGTATAAATGATATCTCATCGAATATTAATATATTTATATGGAATCGGTATATTTGTTAAGTCACTAAAGGATTTAATAAATGACATAATATTTTTGAGGGAGCGTGAATATAATTAGAGTGCGAATATATTGATGTGGACGAAATTGCGAGCAAAACCAATTTAATTTAATTTAAACTCATGACTTGCGTACTATCTCTAATGAGTTAATAACTATGTTAGTTACAATTCTAATTCTATTTTTCCTATAATACACACATATTTATGTCTAATTTACAGATTTATTATTCTATTTACAGATTTTTGTTATTTTTATCATAAGTGTACCTGAACACTATATAAGTAAATAAAATTGAGAAACAATTTAAAAATGCATAGATACATCCATTTCATACGCCACCTAGTTAGTAGATCCATTGTTCAAAATTCATGTTCTTTCGTTGTCCCACTTTCTTGTATTTAATTCAACATCTTCATTTGGATTAAAATTGTAGCAAATCACATCTTTTAGCATAGTAAAATTGTAGCACACAAATCTTTTCATATTTATAACGGTGTTCTTTTTTGTTACTTAAGCTAAATATAGTGCAGTGAAAATTATTAAAATGTCAATATTACTTACCATTGTATATGCGTCATATTAGTCATAATGCGACTAAAATAGTAACTAGTAAACAGTATATTTTAGTCGCATTATGACCAATATCGAAAATTATATTTATTTTATCAAATACCGACGATGCATTTAATCTTTATATATGTCCTTCTTTATAAGCTATAGTACGTGCACTAGTAAAGAAATGTTTTTAATAGACTTACCATGATTGTCCTTATTCTGAACGAGAGAGTATTGGTAGTTTGGATTATAGTACATACTGGTTGATCTCTGTATATTTGGTTTATTCATTGTTTTTGTTGGCTTTCCATATAGACTCACCAAAAAATCAAACGTAACTAAAGTCTGGCTGTTATGAAATCAGCTATAATACTAAATAATAACAATAGTAGATGTCTAATGGTCATGAGATACGCTTATCACGCATATCAGTCTAGTAGCATTATTTGCTCAAAATAAACGAATTCGTGTAAATAAACCATTCCGACTTCTAGCAATTATCAAGTAAGCTGTTAAAATGAAACTAATTGAAAAAATAAATAGATTAGCACATATAATCCAAATACTAAAACTGAAAACAAAATTTATTTTGCAATGTGCAATGTGCACAAAATTCCTGTATTGTGTAGCTGGAGAATTTATTTATAAAATTTAATATTCAGTGTGTTAATCTAGACAGTGTAAACCCTACCTACCTAAATTTCATTCACTATTTAAGCGTCATTGGGTAACATATATCTATTCAGTACTACCCAGTACTATGGTAAATAGAATTAGATAACTTTAAAAAGGCAACTATCTATTACTATGTAATATTATGTTATCTGTGCTATTACCGACAAACACGGATATAAAATCATTTGTTTTTTATTTCACAAAAATGTTCTAAGCCGGACAAGGTTAGAATGGACACGATAAACAAACCATCTAAATACTTAGTTAAAACGGAATTTATCGTGTCTATATGTATATGAAATTAATTATAATTGTGGTCTTAATTTTGCTAGCCTGATCATTTAAAAAAGACATCTGTTACCATCAACAGCCAGCAAGTCATGCTTCAGCAGATTTCAGTGTCGTCTAGTTTTTGAGAGTTAGATTACGACCAAATTATATACCTATTTAATAATTATGATTGTACCTTGAAGTAGTTAAACATATAAATAGCAAACATTAAATCCAATTATATTTCATAATATAAAATAAATGTTGTAGACTAAATAACTTTATATAAAAAATAAACTTTATAATTATGTTAAAAAATAAATTATTATATATATTTTTTAATACAAGATGTAACTTCTGATTTAACCATGTCAGCTCTACTTATAAGTGCAATGTACCTATATATAAGAAAAAGAAGAAGTTCATGGTGTTCGTATATCGTTGCTGCTGCCGCCCTATGACACACCACATTTTTATTTTCATCTCAGTGGTGACTAATATAGTTTAGTATAGAAAATCCTTTATTCAAATATACTTAAATTAAGCACTTTTGAATAGTCATCAGAAATTTTGTATTTTCCGTTTATTAGGACAGTTGTCTTCTCATAAGAAGAATGAGCAGGAAACTTGTGTGTTGCTCTTTTCAAAGATCGTTGTAACTTTACATTTATAAGTCGAAACGTGTCAAATCAGACTACTAACTAGCACTACTTTATTAGGGTCAAATATAAATACACAATTTAAGAAGCTTAAATAAGTCGTAGTGATTAGACCAGATCAGTCTAGCAGCACTCGTTCACGAGAATGACGTATGAGCCAGAAAACACTGTGTTCGACCTCTATTAAAAAAATAATATAAAATTACACTATATATCGTATAAAGTTACTTAACCATTTGTATTAGGTACATAATATTATTTGCGTGTGTTATCTACATCGATAACACATAATTTTCTGATGTCGTAAAAAGATTATATTTTTATCTTACGCTTGCTTTTATCGACACACTCGCGCTCCATATTTAGTCTTATTACATATTATACTGAAAGTTATAAATAGAATCTTCCTTCAACGTTTTTAATGTATGAATAACATTCTATCTAGTACTCAGTACTGTCAAGAAACAATTCATTTAAGTATTATCATTTAAGCGTTGTATCTTCATATAGTTTGTGAGTAACCAAACCAAACAAGAATTGTTAGTAATGTGGACTAATACCACCATAACTAGTAATGTACTACATCAGGTGATATTCATCCAGGCGGTTCCCCCTGAAAAATCCCCGTGTTAAATTCCTGGTGATGTGTATGATGAAATATTTAGCGTTCCATTGTATCTGCCTATCTCAATTGTAGACAAGCATGGCGTTAAGCGATCACCCAACTCGTGATACCAAAAAAACACTGTGGAAATAGACCCAGGTTTCGTTTGAGAGTTTTCATTAGGAATTAGATATTGACAATACATTTTAATTAACAATAAAATAACAAAAATATTGTTGTAATTTAGAAAGATCTACAACAACATATTTCATTATAATATAATTTTAGGTGGTTTAACATTAACTTGAATATTGAAAACGCAATGAGTCAAGTTGGGGAGTTCACCCCATAGTGACAAACATAGCATAATAACTATATAAGGCGTCGACACACGTAATATCTCCATAGTTTATGGTGTCAAGTCTTGAAAAACTATGTTATAATCACATACTATGATGCTGCCTACTTATTTCTTTAAGATCCGTGCCTTTTGTGGAGTCTGGTCGAGGTTTTTTGCGTATATTTATTTCTTTAAGATCCGTGCCTTTTGTCGTCTTTTTTGCGTATATTTACCGAGAAATCTACATTTCTAATGGTGGTGTGTATTCATTATTGCTACGAATAAAATAGTTCGTAGATCTTTCGCTCTTTAGTTCTTTCACAACTATATGTATAAGTTCTTTCACTAAAACGATGTGTTGCAATTATTCAATATGCAATATGATAAGAAATCAGATAGACCTGTATCATATTCAAATCACTGTAGAAATTGTACGTAACATTTAAAATAAGCTTTGTAAGGGGAAATACCCAAATACCTAAACGACATTTACATTAACATTATAAATAGACATACGATTATATTTCTTGCTTTATTGTAACGCTATCATACAGGTACATTGTGTATTATAATTATTTAAATAATTCTATGGATCATCTGTTCCTTAGAAACTATTCATACCTTTAATTTCATGAAAGTGATAATTGTTGAGATTATTATTTTACTACATTAACATTAATTAATGATTTTAATTCAAGTGTTAATCTTTCTTTAATATATTTGAATCGTTGTGAGTAGGAAATTGCTAATTAAGTGTATTGTACAATATTATCTGGAGAAACACTGAAGCATAATATTATATTATGTGGAATTGTGAGTATAATAGTACATAATAACAATTTAATTCTAATTACCACGTTTCGTACCTACCGTTTCTTATCTAACTGGAATGGCTAACAAGCTGGATCTGATGGATCCATCTTAGCCGTAGCTATATAATTGACTCAAACCACGAACTCACATCACCATGTATTGTGACGCCTGCATCAACAATTATGTCGTGCCAGGCTGGAGAACTAATTCATAACATGTAATTTAACTGCAATAACTCACCGTTGAATCGTTACACAGCTTAAAAAGCTGGAAAGCGGCTGAAATTTGAGAAACAATTATCCACGTATTCTGTCTCGATATATTTTATTTTAGTTACATTTCAAAATGTAATATCAAGAATGGCTTATGAACATTGGTAAACGTCGCCTATTCGAATAGAAAGAATAAAATTATAATATTATTTGTGTTTTAAATCAGTCACCCGACTTTTAGTGTAGTCTGACATTAGACGCATTCACTCTACTAAAGAGAACTAAACTATGCGTAATCATAACTATGATCTAAAAGAGATCCCTTTATTTCACGTATTAGTTAAATCAAAATATGAAATTAATTTCTACATCACGAAATATTTAGAGATACTTTCTAATCAACCTTTTTTGCTCATAATCCTAATTTATTGATATGATGAAGTCATCTATTTCATATCATCATTGCTAATATTATAATCGATTTTATCCGAAACATAACATCGATTTTGAGACATCGATGTTGACGATGTTGACCATTATAACCCTATTGATGAATGTCAAAAAAATAAAAAAGTAAATATATGTTTATATTTATTGAAATTAATTATAATTAGAAACATTTCTAATACAGAATTAACATAATTAGTAAAATACAGTTTTAATTATTTATAAATATTTCATTTCAGTCTGACGTCTGTACATTAGTGGCCAAGAAACCTACATAATATGTACTATAAGAGATAGTGCCAATGTTTTTTTGATATTTAATATATTTTATTTACATTTTTACAAATAAGATATTATTTATTATATAAATGTCTTAAAAAGATGGCTAATGTTGTTAGACCAGAATTAATATGGATAGAAGGTAGATGTTACAGAACAAACGGACCTACTATGGAGACAACAGTATTTCAAGAACACGATTTGTATGAAGATGGTAATTTTTTACTTGTTCATAACATTTATTATAAACTAGGTTTTGTTTTCTATCTGTCGCTACTCTTACGTCAATGTCAATTGTTTCAAAAATAATCTAATTAAAATATAAGTAAAATATAAGTATTCATACAATAATAACCCCTTTAACCCACCTCCTATAAGTTTTTGCGATTAAAACCCAGATACCTATATGATAATACATCATTATAGATTTTTGTTATGCTTAAACCACAAAAAAAGAAACTTTACTTCTCACTTTCGAATTTATAACCATCTGTTAGTAATGGGAACTAATGGGTAGCAATAAACATCCGGTTGACCTCCACATGGTTGTGCTGCAAATTATTCTGGTGAATTTAATTTGGTGGCCTAACAAACTCAACATCTTCATCTAATAATTTTCCATCAGTGCCCTGCTGGTATAAGCTGTGTGCTCAGGCAGGTGCAACACTCATAATTTGTGGATAAATAAACAAATAGAACACATTATGATTTTTTAATTTATCTATATAAATTCTAATATATTCTTTTTGTTAAACTTTTCTGTTTTATTGGGGCTATGGTTTACTCAGGTTGATATGCCAGTTATAACAAACAGTGTTTAAATGTATGTTATTTAAAACCCAGTTTTACTATATTACCATGTTACTATCTTGAGCTTCTATATTTTTTTACACTACTATCAAAAATTATGATTGTCATCCTATATGGATGACAATCATGTGAGGGTGTCTCTGTTTCAGATGTGACATTTTCTGAACCTGATAATGATGAGGAACAGGATGACTTTGAAGTAGTCATGATTGATAACAATAGGTACTCTACAAGTATGCATGTAGCTAAGTAAGTACTGAATTAGCATAACCATTTTGCAATTGTCTGTTTATGTGTATCAATAGGATATTACTAGGCATCTACTTGCCAGCAGTCTAATGATACTGACAGTTATGTTTATTATTTCCCAGTGCAATAGTCAAGAGTTACTGTAATGTTTCCTTTAGTGAGTATTGTATAAGTAGTATGGATATGTTGACTATACTTAGATATGTATAAATTATACTTATGTCATTGTGTTTATTTTTTTATTAATGTTTAATTATTAATTTAATTTTCTTTCAGTCACTATTTTGGATCAATCATTGGCAAAAAAGGTGCTACCAAAATGAGAATAGAACGAGACACCCATACTAATATTAAAATACCAAGGCAAGGTCAAACTGGTGATATTCTGATATATGGATCTAGTGCTTCTGTAAGAATAGTATACTGATATCTGTTTGTGACTTCACTTGAGAATTATTTGTAATTATAAATTAGGTTAAAGATTCTAACATAATCTGAAAGGAATAAGGGAAAGATGGCATTATGGTTCCTCATGTGCCTACTTGTGGTGCTAAGTGTTGACAGTAATATTGTCAACACTTAGCACTCTTCCATTTGTTTACGTCTCTACATAAACTTAAAATTTAATTCCAGTAAAAACTCAACAGTCCACATTGTGACTCCTCAATGAGTGTATGCATCACTAATAAGCATACGGCCCATGTGATGGTAACCATTGGGTATCATGTGTGCATTGCCGACACTTAAGAAATCTTCTTGAAAAACCCCAGCTTTGTACCACAGGATCAAATAAACATTCTTATTTAGTATAATGATTCCGTCTGTATACTTATTACTTAGATAGTACGCAAACAAATAAATGAACTACAATGCTGCAGTGGTGAGGTCGTAACCAACAAGCTACACACTTATCCTATCATTCGGTATTAGGTAGCGCTGAAATATCTTCACTAATTCAGTAGATTGAAATAGCAATGGGATAGCAGAACTCAGATATGCTATAATTTGCTGCTAGGAAGTTGGTTTTATATATATATATAGCTATAACTATTCATTAAAGTCTGACTGTAGGGCACTGATGAGTGCTTTCTAACACCATTCTAACCATAAACTTTATACATGTTATATGGACATGTATATGATAAAACAAAAAGTGAGTCAAATTCAATATATAATTTACTTTCTAGAACGTAAAAGCTGCAAGAAGGAGAATTAATATAATTGTGATATCATCCAGATCGAAACAGAAGTTTACACATTTTATTTCAATACCAGTCAAGTCACCAGATATTATAAAAAATTTTGAAAGTTTCAAGGTAATACTAATTATTATTACTAGTACTTCTACTTTACTAGGTAGCATTAACTTTATTATAATTGTTATAATTTATTAATTATATTGTATTTACTAGTAATCGGCCCCAGCTTCACATGGGCCAACATTTGTTGTTGCAAAATGAATATTTTTTTACACATTTTCAATTACTGCTCCTTCTATTGATCGTAGCGTGATGTTGATTATCAGTTGAACCGGATATTACCTCGGGTAAAACAGGGTAATAAAATAACATAGAAACTTTATTTGACTTAACTTTAATATTGGTATAGATTTGTATTGCAGAATATCATAAAATATGACAACATACTTTAGATTGGTTTACATTCTCTGGTTTGTAATTAGACAGTAATATAACTTACTTTGTCCTATAAATATTGGAATTTAACAATTATTAATATATTTTATATTTAGGAAATCACTCTCCGCGAGTGTCCTAGCAAAGGTTTAGAAGAAAGTTTATTTATCAAACCAGACAAACTACATATTACTGTAGGTATTATGTGTTTGATGGATAATGAAGAAAGATTGCATGTCTCTAAGCTCCTGACAGAAGCTAAAGATACCATTATTATGTAAGTATTTTTTTCTTTGTTTAGCAGCGAGCAGGTGTGTTATTACAGTGTATTTAATAAATAATAATTCGAGAGATTGCGATAGCCTCATTCAGGTTTGATTCAAATTAACCCGGCAAAATCTGAGTCATGTCAAATGTTGCGTTCACTACAACATCGACAACTGACATTGAACAATTAACAATATTTCTGACTACCTATCCCATCTGTAATATGAATATATATATATTTAAAATGTAATAGTAAACCTGGATATAATAAACAGCGCCATCTAGAATATGATGCGGGAATTCGAACTCGCAATTATCGGAAGATGACACAGGCTGTGCTTAAAGATATATATTTTAGCTATTGTAATTAAAACATTACAATGTTTTTGTTTTAATTATAATGTGGGACATAAATTTTAGGCCCTTGATTCGGGAACATTTGCCATTACGAATACGTCTGAAAGGCACATCGTACATGAATGATGATCCGCGGGCGGTGCACGTCCTTTACGCCCTTGTACAAGAAGAGGATGCTACTCCTGGATTGCTGCAAAATTTAACGGATGAATTGTTTAAAATATTTCATAAAGCGGGTAAAGAGTATGAATTTTATTAAGTACCTTCACTTCTTTGTTTATGAACCAATTACATTGTAAAAATGATATCGGTTAAGCTGCTGAAATCAATCTGCATAAATTAACAGATAAATAGATAATATTTCATAACATGTTTTAGAAACAGGCACACGACAGGTCCGTTCAGTTACCTGCGCGGGCTGTTCAATAATGCCTTTTTTAATTGAGTCACTACTCAGGAAAATTATTGTATTGTACTACTGTACAATACTCCAATAAGAACTATCCGTCCTTGAAAATTGAATGCTTTACGATGTACGTATTATGCACTAACTTTTAAAAAAACCGCGACACGCGATCTAAGCAATTTGACTTGTACCTTCTTGGACCAGAAGAAAAAACTGATTTGCCCTTCAGTGGGTGAGAAGCTAGGTACACCCATATACGAGATGTATATGATAATTTCTTACGTAGGCAACGTGATGAGAAATATGTTAAACTTATGAATGAGAATGTTTTATATTTTCTTTTATCCATGATTTTATTTAATTTGTAACTAAATCCAACTCACGATACTTTTAAACGGATTTTTACATTTTTTACAGGCTTTATGGAAAAAGAGTTTGGCAGGGATCATGTGAAAATGCATGTGACATTACTCAACACCAGGTACAGAAGTCGATCATCAGAAACAAGCAGTTATGCATCAGGAGATGTTAGGAGGCATATGAGAAATCCAAGAATCAGTTTTGACGGTTCCGCTATCTTAGAAAAGTTTGCAGATTATGATTTTGGCTTAGCGGAACTAGAAACTATACATCTCTCACAGGCCCACACCTTAGGTCCAGACGGGTATTATCAACCTACTTGTGTAATTTCTTGTAATGACGGTCTCAATAGTCTAGCGGTTTAGACCACCGCTTTACTTTCTATAGTCGTCGGTTCGATATCTCACACGGTACAAATATTAACGGGTATAATTGTTTGTATCGGTTTGGATGTTTCTATAAATATATTATTATTAATAGTATGTATTTAAAAAATATGAATTTTAGTATTTCTATTAGTTTTATAGTATCCAGTACACAAGCTCTGCTTAGTTTGGAACTAGATGGTTCTGTGTGAGGTGTATAGGTTTTTTATTATCGTTATTATTTTAATAATAAAACATTTGATGTAAAAAAGTACTAATAATAAAGTATATTTATTTAATTTATTTGGTAATGTGGACTGTGGTGAGTGAGGTGCACCATTGCATCAGCTTGACCTCCACGCGGTTACCCCTGGAAACCATCGTGATAAATTCCTCGTAATTTGGTCACAATAGACCAACTGATATGACCTCGTGCATATCTTGTCATCCTCCACTGGTGCTTCGCCAAATCGCCAGCATCAATCTTTAGCTTAGGCGGGTGCTCCATTCCATTATCAAAAATGATTAAGATATAACTATTATTATATAGGTACCTAACAACTTGTCTATTACTGGGATCGCAGTTGTTAATCCTGGGATAATATTAATCTAATAAGTATCTAAGCTTATTCAAGTTTCTAGTTGAACGACCTTTATTGGTTAGTTTAGGGGCCACACGGGGTTTTCGGTATAAAAGAATTAAGCCATGTATTAGTAATTTCATGCATTATACGTGACGCATGCCTGTTGTACCCATAAATTATAGTAGGTAAGTAAATACAAATTATATAAAACAAAAATATCAATCTAATTGACAGAATTAAATTAATAAATTCTAGGATCAAACCTAATTTGGAATAGTTTTGGAGGTACTAAGCAAAAGAGCTGATTGTCTATTTTTTTTTTAAATAATCCAGCTTATTTCCAGAATATTTATCATTTCAGTTATGTCACAGATAACATAATATTACATACAGATACCCCATCCCATACAAGAAAATGGTTCCTTCCTAACTCGGGCTATTCTTCGGGCTATTTTATTTCGCCACCGTAGCCGCTAGATGTCGCTAGATCTGAAGCAGTTCGGATTACTAGTGGGTGCTTAGTAACAAAGCATGAAAATAGATGGCAGTCAATTCAGTCTACATGACATCTGTTTTGCAAAGATATGTATATAATAGATATGTAGGTAACTGTATCGTGTACCTCATTAGGGACGATTCAAGATTCAATGTAAATGTGTAGGTATAATATCGTTAGCCGACACTCTGCAGATATGGCTTATGTGCCAATGTATATACCTATTATGTTATGGTTTATTTTACATTCCATGCCTATTTTTTTGATATGTTGTAACGCGTCTGCGCTATACGTATAGCCTGATTTTGATACGTTTATACTCGTACGTATCAAAATCGGGATTTTTTATTTTAATCATTATACATATGTATGAGACTGATTTTAGCTACAATTAATTTACTGGTATATACCTCATGTATTCTACGATGTACCCCTCTTTTACCTAATGAGAATTCCGCTATATCTTATATATAAATTTTGTATCACAGTGTTAGTTGCCATATTTCTCCCACATTTTGATGAAATTTGATATGTATACATGCCAGGTCTGAGGTAGGGTTGTTATCTATTTTTTATACCCCTAAGTCATAGGGGTGGCCTACCCCGAAAAAATATTTTTTTGTATTGTGGACAATTTTTTATTTATTTATAATGTTACATTGAAAATACATACACGCCTAAATTTTCACCCGTCTTTCACCAACCCCTATTTTAATAGCGATATTCTTACAAATATTATAAATGCTAAAGTAACTCAGTCTGTCTGTTTGTCTCGCTTTCACGCCAAAACTACTGAACTGATTTAATTGAAATTTGGTAGATAGATAATGTAGACCCTGAGAAAGGCTACTTTTTAATGCGAAAAAGTATTGAAAGGGGAAATGAAAGGCTATAGATAGATGAATTTATAGATGATTGCAATATATAGCAACAATAAGTTTATTTGCGGACAACGTTATAATTTTAATTTTCATACTGCTTTCTTGATATATGATAGCGTAGCGGCTTTTGTATTGATTGCCGCATGCATCCTTATGTAAAGTGCGAATACTGTAACTACCATATAGTAATTTTTGTAGCTGTGACGTGGTCGTGTGGAATGAGTAGTCATGCTCACTAAAATGTCCAGACATGTGGCGGCGTGGTGGGCCGGGTCAATGGGCTCCCTAAAATATGGTCGAGCGCAGTGATGGCTGGCTCATCCGTCATACTCGTGAACGAGTGCTGCTTGTAGGGACTGGTCTGCTCTTATCACTACGACTGATTGTATTTGACCCAAAAAATTAGTGCTTGTTGGTAGTTTGTATTCACACGTTTCGACTTGTAAATGTAAACTTACAAGGATCATTTAAAAGAGCAACACACAAGTTTCTTGCTCGTTCTTCTTGTGATGAGACAGCTTTCCGAACGAGTGGTAGATAAAAAACAAATTGTTATGACTATTCAAAAGTGCTTAAATTAAGTTTATTTGAATAAATGATTTTCTATTCTATTCTATTCTATATGAGGATATCGTAATTTTTAAAGTCAGATCTTGTAAGATTAAGTGAACAGGGTCGGTCTAGGTTTTTCATTATTAGAAATGTGTAACGGGGTAACACGTTATTTAGTGCGAAATTGTGTATATTACAATAAAATTTAACGAGAAAATATTATAATGATGTCACTGGGACACTCATTGCCTTACTACTATATCGTCCGTTAGTCGCGAACTTTCTGGAAACACGAGAGGCGACCGACCAATAGGAGCGATTGGTCGGTCGGCGCGGTTACCGCGCGTAGATGAGGTAGACGAGTCTCACGGCGCCGCAGCGTAAGTACTTACTATACATACGTAGTATACATATAGGTGTTACAAATGTTTTTATTACGAGTAATATTACTCTGTTATCTAAGCAAGTAATGTGTGCTTATTTTGAACTTGATAACATTCTGAATTACTCGTATATCTTTCAATATCTTTAGCGGTATAAACCAGGTTATGTACTACTACTAGTATTGTTAGTGAGGGATAAAGTTGATGAACAAAAATAAAACAATATTCGTATTAAAAATATGTTCATCTAATATTTAAACTTAAAAATAATATTTGGCATTATTTTTAAGTTTCTTCCAAATACAAGGGGTCTGACATGGGGTGTTATGTACCTACATTAAAAGATACTTTTTGAAATGTATGTACCTACATAAAAAGATAATTTTTGACATTAATGAAATGTATGTACCTACATTAAAATATAATTTTTGAAATGTATGAGATGTATGAAAGAAATGTATGTACCTACATAAAAAGTTCATTTTTGAAATGTATGAAATGTATGAAAGAAATGTATGTACCTACATTAAAAGATAATTTTTGACATGTATGAAATGTATGTTCCTACATAAAAAGTTCATTTTTGAAATGTATAAAATGTATGAAAGAAATGTATGTAATTACATAAAAAGTTCATTTTTGAAATGTATGAAATGTATGAAAGAAATGTGTGTACCTACATTAAAAGATAATTTTTGACATGTATGAAATGTATGAAAGAAATGTATGTACCTACATTAAAATATAATTTTTTAAATGTATGCACCGTACAATAACAATACACGTTAAACATCATACCACAGAGTCATACGCAAGTTAAAAACAAACTGCTATGATATTAATGAGAAAGGAAAATCAACTTTATGGTATTCGAGTTAGGGTCGATTTCTCTCTTTTTTTTTTAAATATTATTTTAATCTTACCAGTTGCCAGTATTCGAAGACAGCTACGATTCGTACTCGATATTTTAAATTATTATGTAATCGATTTTTCAGTACAAATGTAAATAACCAACGACACTAATAATGTACTACTATATTCCGTTTTTTGAAACGGAACACTGCTATAATACAAAATAATGAAAATTTACTGTTCACAACGACTCATTAAAAGCATCATCGAATAATGCGCTGTAATAAAATCCTGTTATCGATTATTCAAAAAAATCGATTATACATGTATTTATTTTTAATATGACAACACTTCATACATAAGTATTATTGGAAATAGTATTACTTGCTTGTTCGGCTATTTTTAATTTACATAAAAATTTTTTATATGTTTAATTTACAATAATAATATATTAAGTGCTTATTATTGGAAAATATAAAAAAGACATTTAATTAGGCCGATACAAATGACGACAGTGCCATCTATGAAAGCATTTTGAAAACATTGAGCCCCATATTAGCACTGATTAAAGTGTAATTAAGTACTGGAAAATAACAAAATGAATAAATATATGAAAATTACTTTTCTAAACGCATTATTTCATTTTAACATGTATATATAACTTTTTAAAAATTGATTAAACATTTTTGAAAACACAGTTTTGTTTTTTAAAACGTTTGCAAAACTATGAAGAATTCCATCGATACCAATCACGCCATCTATATGCAACTTTTAGCAATAATAATGGCTACTTCCTCATTGAGTGCCACTGGTTATGTAGAGTAGTTGTAGAGTTACGTCGTGGTATATATTATTACATCGAGTAAATAAAGTATATCTAAGAATATTAGGCTTCAATTCATAGTAGTTAAAATAATTATAATCATATACAAAACTTATTCCGAAATAACATTACATTACTATTTAAATACAGCTAAATCCTTCTCATTTTTACAATTTCATATTATTAATGTTATGTTTATATGTCAATTGTTACTCACGCTGCGACAAAGCGCAATTATAAACTACCCCATTTTTAGTCATAGTGAACAAGTTTATGCTTCTACTTTAATACTGTTTTATGTCTGTTTTAAATATTTCTGTTATTTATTTATTTTTTACTCTGCGAGGACTGTGGTACACATATATATATGTATATATATTTATTTATTTTACTTAAGGATAATGGCTATAAAAAATCTTAATATTTATTATCAAAACGTGAGGGGTTTACGTACTAAGTCGAGTACTTTCTTCCATGAAGTTTTAATTCATAATTATGATATTATCTGTATCACAGAAACTTGGTTAAATGATTCCTTTTACAGTTCTGAATTTTTCGATCCCCGCTATGAAGTATTCCGGTGTGACCGCGATGTTAGTGCTAGTGGGTGCGTGAGGGGCGGCGGCGTGGCGATGGCGGTGCGCCGCGAGCTATGTGCAGTGTCACGCGCGGAGTGGTGCGCGCCGCCGCCCGTCGACGAGCTGTGGCTGAGCATACCGCTCCGCGGCCGCGCCGACATGTCCGTCGCCGCCGCCTCGACTCGGTCCTCCTCGGTCGTTTCTTATCTCCATATTGCGTGTACCTATATCCCGCACGGACCACAGCACGAATCTTTAATAGCATCCTTTTATGATCGCGTAACCGATATAATCCACTCTGGATCAAATGACGTTTATCTAATTCTAGGTGACTTTAATATAAGCAAAGCACAATGGTACATGGATAATGAAACCAACAGTATGTTGATACAATCGAATAACGATTTATTAAATTATATCACGAGCGACTTTATGAATTACTCATTATTGAACCAATACAATCAAGAATTTAATATAAATAATAGGTTACTCGATTTAATTTTTTGTAATAAACCCTGTTCCGTCTTGTCTCCCCATGTACCTATAGTACCTGAGGATCCGCACCACAAATCATTGGATATAAATCTTCCTATATCTACAACCATCCCTCTTGAAAGTGTTCGCTCTGCACGGAAATTATTTCACAAAACCAACTTCGTACTTATGAACTCAGAACTTAAATCAATAGATTGGGTCCATGAGTTCTCAGCCCTTATTGATGTTAACTCAATGGTAAACTATTTTTATAAGGTTCTAAATAATTTAATAGACAAATATGTACCAACCAGCAAATGTT